ACAGCAAACCAATCCAAATCACTTACAGGGAATATTAAAGCAATTTTGTTCACAGTAAGATCACCAGCTCTAAAGAAGAAAAACTTATCCATGGTGAAGAGATAAAGAGATTCTGCAATAAAAATATCTTTGACATCTACATATGCCGCAAAGCTGCATGCAGTATTTGCAGAAGAGAGGTGATCTGCGCTGGCTGTGAGTTGTAAATAACTTTACTAGCCTAATTGTAAATAGTTTAAATAGTTGAAATAATGTACTTTTGCTGCAGGAGATGTGCACAGTACAGTAGCTGCCAATACAGTGTGACTTTGACTGATAATCCCTAAGCAGCACATTAACAACAGGTGGTGTGATGGTGAATTCCAGGTAAACACAAAACAGGAATCAATAAGTGACACTTTCTAAAAACTGGACTTGATTTGTTACATGCGAGAAGATTTACATTAGTTTCTGTTTTATGATTATTCATAAAATGAAAAAACATTGCAACTTCAAATTGCTTTTGTGATGAATTATATTGAAACTGTTTACATGCATTCCAAGCTGATCATTGTATCCTGGTGATTGGCTTCTGAAAAACACCACTTCCTATTCAGACATGGCATGGTCAGACTCTCTCTTATGCAGCCATACCGATGGAGTATGAAATGTCCTTTCTGAATAAAACTCCTCCCACACTGGTCACAACTGTATAGCCTCTTTCCACTGTGAATGTGTTGCTGGGACATCAGTGTGCTTTCGCAGTAAAACCCTTCTAACAGTGGTCACAACTGTATGGCCTCTCTCCAGTGTGAATGCGTTGATGGGTCATCAGTCTTTGTTTGTTAATGAAACTCTTCTCACAGTGGTCACAACTATATGGCCTCTGTCCAGTGTGAATGTGTTGATGGGACATCAGATTTTGTTTGTGAATGAAAGTCTTCTCACAGTGGTCACAACTGTATGGCCTCTCTCCAGTGTGAATGCGTTGATGGGTCATCAGTCTTTGTTTGTTAATGAAACTCTTCTCACAGTGGTCACAACTATATGGCCTCTGTCCAGTGTGAATGTGTTGATGGGTCATCAGTCTTTGTTTGTGAATGAAACTCTTCTCACAGTGGTCACAACTGTATGGCCTCTCTCCAGTGTGGATGCGTTGATGGACTATCAACTGTGTTTTCTTAAGGAAATTATTCCCACACCTGTCACAGACGTAAGTCTTCTTTCCAGTTTTGATAACCAGATTAGGAAAAGTTGAAAGGGTCCCAAATTGTTGTTTGTCCTCTTCAGAATGGGACGGTTCGTCACTTTTTCTGTCGTCAGCTCTGCTCATAGAGTCATTATTAATTTTGTTCCTGTTGATGCCACTATAATTCTGTGGAACCAAATCAGGAGAAACAGAGAAAGAAATATAGTAAAATTTTAAATCAACTGTACAAGACAGAATGAAAGATTTGCCATAACACCTTGTAGAGGGAAAAACCAAAGGCCTTTCCAAACATATTTTCTGTTTTTATATTGGTCGCTAAAAGGACACAGGCAAACTCGTTTTGGTTTGGGGTAATTTAGCCTAGATTTAATAACTTTAAATAGATTTGATGTGATCCAATGTTGTGGATATTTACAGTCATAAAGTACAATATCAATATCAATCAATAAATTAGAATATTAATGAGAAATGCATGTATTTCAGCAATTGAGCTCACAAGTAAAACTGATTATGTAGCTTAATTACACACAAAGTTTTGAAGCTTTTATTTGATGAAAGATTTCTTGCCTACAGCTGATGAAAACATGACATATAAAATTAAAATATTTCATCAGACCAATAAAAGACGTTCATGCAGACATGTGGGTGTAATGAAAAATAAGTTCAATACCTGCTTAAAGCAGGTTTCAGAAGGGATTTTTAATCTGACAATTGAGCCTCATCATCATAACTCACACGCTTATTTATTAAATATGACTGTATTAAGAGAATTAAGAAGCATAAAAAGCATGTTATTCTTAGAAATGTTTGGTTCTATTTTGTTTGTTGTGGTATTCTTCAGCAGAAAACATAAAACACCTTAAATCATTATCCTCAAAAATTATAACCAAGCGGCAGCTGTGATGCATCTATACTGTTTGTGTCAGTCGACGTCACGTTGCATCAGCAGCCGCTCTACTTCGCATGTCGCCTTCAGAATAAATACATTATTCTATTTAAACTGTTTACAGTTAGAATAATAAGATCATTTACATCTCCCCCTCGCAGCTTTGCACCGTCTGCAGTTGTCAGAGGTTTTATATTTAACTCATTGTCTCTGTACCTCACTGCCTCCCTTTCAACCTGCTACATTTTCAATCTCTGAAGGCTTAGTTTATCACCTGCCTGGATGGATTCAGCCGCATCTTCATTTTCCCTCTAATTGTGACCAAACTTCCTATAGTGGTCCTAGTTAGATTATTTATTTAGTCCTTCTAGTTCCTTATTTCAGCTCCCTCATAGTGTCTCTAGTTTTCTTATCTTGCTATCTTAGGTTTAGTTCTGCTTAGGGGTGAAACGATTCCTTGAGTGATTTGAGTACCTTGATAATTAAAATTCCTTGAGGAAAATGTACCTGCCTCGAAGCTTCGTTAAGTTATGTTTTATTATTTAATGCACTGTGTTCCTTCCAGGTCGTTATTTGCGTTACGCAGCGCTCTCACTTCCGCCTAAGTTGTTGACGAAAGCTAAGTGTTAGCAGCATAACGTCTGGCCTGGGAGGCCAGACTGCTTCATGATAATATCTGGGTTTTCTTTGTTTTCGGTGGACCAATCAGCATCCTTAAAACGACTGGCATGATGCCTGGAGTTCGGCAGCCCCTCTCCTCCGGGAGCTGCTGGTTCAGAGCGAATGGTGGGAAGAGCGCTGCAGGAGTATTTATACAGGTAAGCGGATAGGCTGAACACTGTGGGCGGCTGAGCTTAACATGCGAAGCTTTAAAGCTGATGGAAATGTTTGCTTTACAATCAGCTGCCTCGTTTTATCTCGTTAGAAACATCATCGCTTTTTCTTACACCATGACTCTGCAACTGTATGAAGTGACCAGGTCTCTCAAAGACACCTCAAGCTATAATATCATCACCTCCCTAACATAATGGCTGATGTCATTTTTTGCTCAATGTGATTTTCTTGCTTAAATCGTCTTTGGCAAAAAGATTTTATGTTTTTTTTTTCTTGTTGCCCAAAATCACTTTTGACATAACCGAAAAAT